TTAATAAATGATTGTTGCCGAATCTGAAATGCTGAAATAGTCTTACATAATTGCTGAAATTAACTTTATTAGTATCCAAAATTGTATCCGAAATTATTTGAATACTTTAGCTCAATAGCAAAAATCCTGGGTGGTTTTTTTGTGTATATAAATATAAAGAATGTCCCAAATCTGAAATTGCCTGCCGAAATTGATTTTTTCAAAAACCATTTCAGCTAACATGTTTATACCAAACTATTAATTTAACAATAATTAGAGAATGAATACCTTGTTGTATCCCCCTTCAGTTTTTCCTTTAGTAGCTTCATTTATTGTTTAAAGTTTTAGTTTCTTTACTTGTTTTTCTATACTTTGGAGCCTACTCTAATTTCATTGCAAATTACACATCTGCCGCATAATAACATATTGGAAATGTTAGTACTAAGTAAAGTATGTCAAAATTGCAGATGCTGACAGATACAGCTGGAATTAATTTAAAAAAACATTAAAGAATATCTCTGTAAAGTTACAGTACGTGTCATGTGTCAATGTGTCACCACTTTAATTGAGCACACAGTTTTTTTACTTTAAAAATTACATTACACGGCATAAAAAATTGGTGCAACATTCGAATGTCCACCATGCTACATAAATAGTAGGGGTGTTCAAAGTTGTTCCGTTCCTGTTTCCTGTTCCTTGTTACACAGTCAAAATTAAATTTTATTGGCTGATCAGAAGGAACAGGAAACGGAACAGAGAAACAACAAATTTGTTGTTTCTCCTTGTTTCCACTTCCAAATTTGGAAACGATTTTCAAAAAAAAATAAAAAATAAGAAATAAAAAATAAAAATAAAAAAATAAAAACAAGAAAACGAGAATATCATAAAATAGCTTCTACTAATAATGTACAACAGCCTCGTCCAGTTCAAAGAGTAGCTTCTATTAATGACATGCAACAACAACAAAGCATTTATCCGGTTCAGTAACTTCTACTAATAATAATGATGTGTAACAACAAAACTTTCATCAAATTCATCCAATTCAGTTATTTCTTGGAATAGATTTAGAAACAATGCCTCTTCAATTCTTTCACAAGTTGACATATTTTTAAAAAAACACATGTAGTTCAGTTCCAAATATAGAAGTTGTGGAAACAACTAGGAAATTTCTGCTCAAAGTTGATCCTTATTTCCATTACCTAATAAGGTATTGTACAACAAGGAATAGGAACAGGAACAGAACAACTTTGAACACCCCTAGTGTACGCGTTTTGTCGATCAAATAACAAATTCTTTATAAAAAAAAAATAAAAAAAAATGCCAAATCAGAATGACAACAAAAAAAGAAAACAACTAGAAGAATGGTGGTTATCGCCACCACTCATCACTCTAGTTTATTTAAGAATGGTGATGATGGTTGTTTGCAACTTCTTTATAAATAACAATATAAATTTAACTTTTTTTTTATTGATTCCTAATTTGTTTAGAGTTGTTCATGATAAGGTAAGCAATAAACTATATTCTCTTTGATCAGTAAAACTGATTGTCTTAATACTAATCCAATTCCCAATTTGTAGGAAAATTTATCACCCTACTCATCAGATAATGATGACGGTAAGGAGAATATATATTAATATGACAAAATACCTCTTAATCAATATATTTATAAATATTTATATTTAAATAGATACTACACGTTCACCTCGACCTGGAGAACAAAATGGTCGTGAATATCATTTTGTGCCCCGAGAAAAGTTTTTTGAATTGATTAAACAAAATAAATTTATAGAACATGCAGAATTTTCTGGGAATTTATATGGGACTAGTGTGGATGCTGTTAAAGCTGTGGCAGATCTAGGAAAAATTTGTATACTAGATATAGAATTACAAGTAAATATAATAACAATCTATAACATATATCCAATGAATTTACAATGTGTCCAAGAAACATAATTAATTAATTTTCTTCCTCATTTTATATTTTCAGGGTGTTAAATCTGTCAAGAAAACAGATTTGAATGCAAGATATTTATTTATTGCACCACCATCAATAGAAGTTCTTGAATCACGTCTTCGAAAACGTGGCACAGAAACAGAATCTTCCATCGAGGCACGTCTAAAAGCAGCCAAAGAAGAATTGGAATATGCAGACCTAGAAGGATCTCATGATTTCATTGTTGTCAATGATGATTTAAATACAGCTTATGAAAAATTTAAAAATTTTATCATAGAAAATAAATAAATTGATTGATTATTCTCTTAATTATTTAATAATTTATATATATTTTTTATTAGAATGTCATATTATATTTATATTCCATTGTACATCTATAATATCTGTAGATTGGCTTAGGTTTAGTAAAATGATAAATATAATGTGATTAATAATAATTTATGGAAAATTATTTTTAAAAACAAACCATTCAAGAAATCTTCAAAATCAATAGTTCCATTAAAATCT